TAGCCATTCTAGCTTTGCACCTACATCAGTACGAGAATACACCCGACGGCGCGGTGGCCTGTACTTATAGCGCGTGAACACATCACACCAATGGCATACACCCGGTACCCTGCAACACAGTGGAACATTCTAAGAAATTAAAAAATTATCTACAAAGACCTCTTGAATCATCTGAGAAGTAACTTACCCTATTCTGATTACTTCAATGAATGTCAAGATAACAATGGCTGCTTTTCCATCCAAAAATAAAACTAGTTTGCAATTAGAAATAGTCAATTTCTCGATAATTTCACAAAATATATTTGCCGCCGCATTCAATATGACGTCATTGACAGCTGATTGGCTAGTTTGGTAGTGACGTCGAACGAGCTATGTTTGTGCTGCAGTGATCGAGCGAGCGAAAATGAGACAATCGGAGCAATATGGAGTAATGAGAAATACAGTCTTCACTTCCTAATGAGAAATAGGGTGTGAAATTCAGGGTAATATTCTTACAAGGGATTGGAAACAGAGAGAAGAAGAGCAAGAGGAGATTGGTTGAGGAAAAGGCGAAAGGGTGGATGTGTACGTAGTGGAAAAAATGTGCAATTTTCATTCACTTAAAATTTATTGTAAAGCTGAAGGAAATATTTTAATCTGTTTAGAGAGATGTTGTTGGTAACGTTTTGTTTTGTGATCGTTGGAGGGTTTTTCAGAATTAGGGGTGGCGGAGATGGGATTCGTGTACGTGTGTGCGCTTGTGTACGAGTGTGTGTGTGCGTGTGCGTGTGTGTGTGTGTGTGCGTGTGCGTGTGTGTGTGCGTGCGTATATGTGTGTATGAGTGAGAGAGAGAGAGAGAGAGAAAGCGAGCTAGGGTGAGATATAGAACCAATAGGGAGAGAACGAGTATGAGCGTGAGGGGTTATAACGACATTGACAGAGAGAGAGAGAGAGAGGGGGGGGGGGGGAAGAGGGCGAGAGATCATTACCATAAACATGAATTAGATAATACGTCATTTTAATAAACACGACAATATCACATGGTTGTTTTAATGTTGGTTTATTAGCTTCGTATCAACAGTCAAGCCAAACGGGAAAAGAGAATAAAATCATATCATTCTCCGTCTAACAACTACTGGACGGTTGTACGACTGTTAAGCTGCTAAAGTTGAATCGCCGCAATAGTTTAACCCGACGCCTAAGTTTCTGAAAAAGAAGTTCACTTCAGCGAACGGGCATCGCGGCCGTAATGTACGTGTGATATCGGCGCGCACGGAGGCGCCATAAGGAACTGACTAGTGTCCAGCAATCTATGCATCCCACAGTTACTCATCACAGTTGTAGTCTTAGTATATTTAATGAAAAGGGGATTAATCTACCTATCAGAAAACCTCCCCTTGTGTAGGTCTAATCAAGGACAAACAGAGGTTCACTGTTGGTCATAATGACGGAATAATTTTTTTTAACCCCGATTTATGGAAAGATTTTAACAAGGATTTATTCCTACTAGATCTAGATAATAATATACATTTTCAGATTTTATTGAATTATAATTTGTGAGTGTTTGTCTTTGCGTGACTGCTAAATCATGTGTATGCTAATATGCTAACCAACTAGGGGACCTACGTCCTTAAGTCATAACTGACAGTAATGAGGAGTAATGCCTCATAAAAGGGCACTAATAATTAAAAGTATATCGACGCGGTTTTAATCCTGGGGTCTCACAGTAACGAAACAAACACGAAAGAAAGAGAGAGAACGAAAGAAATTTAAAGAATGAGAGAAAGAGTGAGAGAGTGAGAGATAGAAAGAGAAAGAGAGAAAGAGAGAAACACAAAAAGAGAGAGGGAGATACATAGATGAAGAGAGAGAATGATAGCGAGAGAAAGAGAGGAGGTGAGAGAGAGATAGAGAGAGAGAGAGGGGGAGGGAGTGAAAGATGAGGGAGATACAGAGAGGTTATAGAAGTGAAAGGTATTAGGAAAGAGAGGGAGAGAGAGCACGAAAGCAGAGATATAGGAGAAAGAAAATATCTAAAGTAATAAAAAAAATCGATACAAAATATTCGACAAGGTGCACATACCGTCGCGTATAGTTCACGATGAAATTCGCGACAAAAATGAATATGCGATTTGTCGCATACTTCATCACGAATTTCACAACAAAGTTTGTGATTCGAGGCATGGTTTGCGCTACATCAGTGTATCAGTGGGCACATTTACGTATCCGCTGAAGTAAACTTTTTTTTGTCAGTTACTTAGGCGTTAGGTTACGGTATAGCGAAAAGTTACACTTTAGCAGCTTAATATCAGTTCTGGTCAGGCGATTGCATTGTGAAAGAAACATTGTGGAATCGGTCAGAAAAAGTTGATCATATACACTGTAAAAAAGAATTTGTTCATTGGTAATGTTTTATTTTTTTGTTCCATGTAGAATTTACTTGAAAACATTAGTTTTGCCACTTACGCACTAAATTTAAGTCTTGCTAACTCAAACTTTCAATTTAGTAGAACATACGTGGAATATTTAAGTAAAATCAAATACATAAGAACTTTAAGTAATTTCAGCTTGTATTAATTTAGTAATTTTAACTCAAAATCAGAAATTATACGTATTACTCAAACAATTTATGTTGATTATTCTTATCTTTTTAAAGTAAGGACCGATGCAGTGCGTAATAGAAATATTTACATTATTTATGAATATTCATTAAGACCAAATTAAACTCTTTTTTTAAATAAAACAATTCTTTTTTGTGGTTGAATAGAAATTTAAGGACTTTAAAACATTTACTAATTCATTTAACATGGCTAAGCAAAGACAAGACAATTTTTAATTGTTACCCAGTTCAAAACAAATCAAAACTTGATATTTCAGGAAATAATATTGTCAACCAATTTTCCTTTTAAGATGCTACGATCAAGTATATATAAAATTTGTAGCCTTTCTTTATGTGTCAAATTGAAGCGTATGTAATAGTTTGTGATGGTGGTAGATATATATATATATATACGGTTAAATCTTAAATAGAAGTAGTGTTAGTGATTAGTGATTAATCTTAAATAGAAGTAGTGAATGATTAGTGGATGTTACTTGTTAGATTAGATGGATACCAAATCGTGCAATATGTAATCCTATCATAGCTTTTTTTTAATTATCTAAAATGATTACAATACTTAAATTATTTACGTTAATGTAACTCGATTTAACTGAGTAAAAGTGTATTCAGCAAAATAAGTAAATTCAACTTAAGATGCCGTAGGTAATATTTACTTAATAAAAATAAGGCAATTCTTTTCCTCAATTTTATTGAGTTATTTCGACTATTATTTGTTTACAGTGTAGGCGGTTTCCGGCAAAATTGGTATCATCGCGTATTAGTCAAACCATATTCTTTCACATGATTGGTAATAAGAGCTTCCATTTCATTTTTTGAGAGGATGTGCTCCGGCGAAAGTATCCCTGCATTCAATGATTTCCCACCCAAATCGAATTCATAACGCAAAGTATGGATTGCTATTCTCCAATTATTGTAACCTTATAGTTAACTAAACCCATCGACTACTGAATTCCTTCATTCCCATAGGCTTAATACATGAGCCACTCGGTGTCAGTAGCCAATGGATTAATGGAGAAATGATGTCGGATCACCAATACAATGTTTACAAAAAATATGCAAGACTATTTTGATTGGCATAAGAAAAACATTATTTTTGCTACTTTTTTCGATTTTTTCCATTGAATGCATAATTAAGTAAGTATACATTAATACATACATGGAGAAATATCAACTTATTTTAAACAGAACTGGTTCAGTTCTGAATACATAATTAAGTAAGTATACATTAAAACATACATGGAGAATTATAAACTTAGTTTAAACAGAACTGGTTCAGTTCTGAATACATAATAAAATCAGTAGGCTATACATTAAAAACATGCATGGAGAAATATAAATAGACGAGCTCTTGACCAATCGCGCCTTTGTATCTCGTCACAATAATGTGCTATATCATAAAAACTATATAAAAGCATGTACCAAACTACCTCTCCTCCACTTACTAATGAAATGGAAATGATCCTATTACATTAAACTCTCAAGGTATATGGTAACCTGCTACAGATGGAATAATGATAATCAATGGAAACTTAATATATTACAAGTAGGTCTGTAACAGTAGAAAGTAGTGGTGAAGCCATACAAGGGTCCGAATAAACTGCCATAAATTCATCAAAAATCTATTTGTGTGTATTTCTTCAATCAAATTGTTCAATTCAAAATCTATCAGCGGGGTGTTTCACAAAGATCCTAAGCTGAACTTTTATGGAAAGCCGTTAGCCTTTTTGAAAGTATTTTTTAAAAGTTATTTTGAAACGCATAAATTGTTGATTTGAATCATTCATATTTTCTATTATCAAGGAGATTTCTTCTTCTTGATGGGAAATTTATGAAAAGTCTGAAATACTTGATTTTTTTTATTTTGAATATTTAATGTTTTAAGGTTAAAAATGACTCTCTATAAGTCCAACTTAGAGTTAAGTTCGACTTAAGATCTTTTTGAAACACCCCCTGTTCTACATGGTATCTTTACCACTCTGCACAGCAGAGTCTCTCCGGTAGAGCTAGGCTCAATGCCGCTGGAATCCGAATCGGACACGAGCCATGCGTCAGGTCTTGCCGAGCTGGTTTGTCCAAAACATATGGACACGTTTGCCTGGATTTGTCTCATATAAAAAGAAGTTGACAACAAACTAACTCCCACACCAGTGTTGAGTGTAGGGGTTACGGGCCACTTGCTTCATCGTGTAGGTAATTCCATCATGTAAATTCCGAAAACGGTATACGACAAATCGAAACAAGTTTGATACCAGAAGATTAGTATATTCATTAGCCACTCATCCCAAAGCCGCCTGACCACAGTGGAATGAGTAAGGGCTTGCGAGAGCGGCAGAAGTGCAATTGAAACTCGCTATTTTGCTCTTCTCCAACGCAAAAAGAGACGACATTGTGCTCGTCAGGATTACTATGTTTTTTCCGACAAAATTACAGAACAAATACATACTATTTTGTGTATATATTATACTTTTTGAAAGGTTAACCAAGTGACTCCAGCGCATCCCCAATGCTGGAAAGGAACGCACTTTTTTTTAGAAGATATCACTTTTTCATGCAAAAATGCTTATATTTTCTATGCACTCAAGTTAGAATCAGCGGAATATACAACGTTTCCATATGAGGAACTGGCCGCAGAGGGCGTCGTGAAAGATTTAGGTAAGCAGCTTATGCTCTGGGAACGCCATATTTCGCGCACCTGAGGCTGTCTGACGCAATATAGCATGAAGATAAGGAACCCCTGAAGAGAGTTCAGTACGGTGAAGATTCCTTGGACAAGAGCACTGGCTTGTTGTATGATGCTCAGGTAACCAAGAGACCACGTGAGACCCATTAGAATCCAGATGCAAACTGCGTTCTGGAAACGTCGAATCCGCTGGCGCTTCTCTGTCTTGTCAAGGTGTCTTCCTTTAACAGTTTTGTTCAGTCGCATGAGGACCCGAACATAGATAACAACGTTGAAGATCATGACGACACCAATAGGTATCAGGAGACCACAGATCAGAGGCCAGAGTGCAGGGAAGCAACTATCACACAATGTAAGAATCAAATGAAAAAAATCATCTGAAGGACTTCTATCTCATAGTATATGATATATATTATGTTTATAAAGTTCTTTTGATTCTTTGTACATTTGTAAAAAGTTAGCAAAAACAAATTTCCAATATTGGAAAATAAATTGAAATTGATTGAAATTGAAATCGAAGTTTTTTATGATCGTGTTAAGTTATGGTACCAATGACAGGGGCGGATCCAGGAATTTCTTCCCGGGCGGCACACGGGGGGACATATATATATATATATATATATATATTATAAGAGGACACATATATATATATATATATTTGTTTGGTCGCAAAAAAATCGCAATGACTCAGCCAACCAGGGGGGGAGGTGGGGTAAGAGCTTTTTTTTTTTTTTTTGCTCCCGAAAATTTGAAAATCGCGCCGGCCGCAAATTCGCTCAGGGGGGGGGGGGGGGGGGGGGGGGGGGGGATGGGGTAGTGCCACTAATTTGTTGTTGTTTTGGTTTTTTGGCCGGGGGGACACGTGCCCCCTGTGCCCCCTGGATCCGTCCCTGAATGAAACTGGATGTGATATGTCTTACAGAATGTCAAAGAACACGAAATTCAGTCTGTCACAGCAAAGTTGACAATAGGTTATAAAATCATACCATAAAATGATAACAATTAACACAACAGCTACAACTGTATAAATTAAAAACAGATATAATAAAATACCTGTACAGACGGCCATCGATTTTTGATTAATTTTTTTCTTTTTTTCTTCACCGTTCAGTATAAGGTTCGTAACAAATTGCATATGATATATAACACCATTGCTTTCATAATGCGAAGTAATTACCCCTGCACTACCTTCGACGGTAGGGGATTGAAAAACCCGGATGCGTTAAAAAAAAAAAAATCTGCATAACGAAACTCACAAATCTGTCTGTGCGTAGTACTGCCTTGAAGCACCTGCAGTAATCCCGACTATTAACAAAGGGCAACCTACAAAAAGAACAAACAATTTGAGTGTAATTAAGTTCGTATTAGTAATTGTCTTCCACTTCCTGCTTATTTCGTTTCTTTCTTCTTTCTTCTTACTTTTTCTTTCTTCTTTCTTTTTCTTTCTTTCTTTCTTTCTTTCTGTTTTTCTTTCTTTTTTTCTATATACATTTCTTTCCTTTTCGTCTCTCAGCAGGCGACATAAATATATTTTTATATATCATTTGCTAATACTTTCCAGCTTTTATTTTTATGTTTTTAATCTTGTACAATTTCATTGAATTAGTTTATAATGTGTAATAATATTTGATTTGTTTATCCTACTTGATTGTATTTTTTATCTTCCTTAACTGGATATAATTGTAATGGATTTTCAGGGCCCAATGAAAAACCAACTTTTGTTGAATGGGATACCCTGATGAAATATAAATAAAATAAAATAATTAAAATTAAAAAATGAAATGAAATGAAATGAAATGAAATGAAATGAAATGATGTAAAATAAAATGAAATAAAATGAAATAGAATAGAATAAAATGAAACAAAAATTAATATTAGCAAACCCTTTTACTACATAATATGTTATATTATAAGAAAACTCAAACAACATATTTTTCCCCTTGCCAATAATCATGATCAGTGTGAAATATAAAGTTCCTTCATTAATTTTTCGGGGCGAGGAGTGGTTCGGGGTGGAAGTCATTTTACCCCTAATTGCTTTATCGGTGCCCAAACGGTTGGACATTAGTTATCATAAGGAAAGGCCAATTACTTAGTACTCGAAAAACAGCGAATAACGCACAGTGAATGTTCTGCCCTCTCACTCATTGCGTGGCAACTGCTGTTGATACATCTATTTTAAAAATAATGCTGTGGGTACATTTATTTCATATCTTTGCCCACGGAATAAGTAGGTGATAGGGAGAACCCATGTCCCGTGTCCCCCTTCTAGTGGCCCCCTTGTATTTATCCATGGAGCAGATGAAAGCTTACCCCATGCGATCAACGAAGCTTTCTTCATAAACCGTGGCAAATAGGCATTGAGGACCAGTACGAAGAGATTATGCATGTTGTAGCCCTCAACGGCCATCCAGAAAATAGCTGCCAGGGTGAAATATTGGAGGAATGCAGACAGGATTGCGCAAGGGAGAGGGGAGAGTTCAGTCACATCTCGCTCAGTGTCCACTGATATCATGACTAAAAAGGCTACATAGAGTCCAAGTAAAGCACAGGAGAGGGATAGGAGAATCTGGTTGGGTTTCCGGTCTCGAAGCTTCCTGAGAGGCGTGAAGAAAACCAAAAGAAAGTTATGTACTCTGTGAATACTGCATTATCGTAATACCGCATATTGAGCCACTGTTGAAATGTTTTCGTTTCTTTGTTTCTTTGTTTCTTTGTTCGTTTATCCTGACTGCTAAGAAAGCTTTTTTAGACTTGTAAATAAGCAACCAGGGAACCGACGGCTTTATGTTCTCTGCGAATGCCTTGGTAATGAGCATTAGAACCTTACCAAATGGCACTAAAAATATAATTTAAATTTTTTTTTTACCAAAGGGGGGGGGGGGTTCCTTAAAAATACACACATACAAAATACCAAAGGAGGGGTTCAACCCCCCCCCCCCCTGCGTACGCGCCTGGGCTAACGCATCGACTTAGTTTCGAACCCAGGACCTCCCGGTTACGAGACCACTGCACTACCATTGAGCCATCACGCCTCCTAAAAAAAAAACTATTTTTTCCTCATAAGCTCTATAAAAAGGACTTTTAATCCAACGTGTGGAAATCTCGAGATGACTTGGATTAATTATGTTTGCAGGAGAGAAATTCTTAATTTCTTTCATTAAGGGTTTGGGTTTGAGTTAGGATAAGGAGAATATTCTGAAACGGTCTACATTGGTGCCTATCTTTAATCTTATATTCGTAATAATTAATTTAAATATATTTGTAGATATCTATAAATCAAACAAATTAAAGTAAGAATTTAAGCGAGATCAGAATCTTTACTACGTGCTAAACAAGAATGGTATATTTTCATATATAAAGTCAGTGTCGCAAAATAATTTTGCAATTAATAATGATACTCACTTGTTTGTGGCATATGTTAGGATTGTCAGAACAAGGCCCAATATTGAAATAAGGCAACCAACATAGCTAATGATCTCAAGGATGAAATCTGCATCATCAGGTAAATGTTCTCCTCCATAGATATCCTAATACGGATAGAAGAACAAAAATGAACGCTCGAAAATAACGGAGGAAGAAGTTATCTATTCTGGAATGGTTCTCTGAACGAAGAATAATTTGCCCCTATTTTGCGATTTGAATATCAAATCTGACGTTGACCTAATAGACCTAATAATAATGATATAAAAATAGTTGGGTCTTATTTACTCGAGGCAGCCACATCAGTAACAATATTGCACGCTGACTTTAGATCGAAGGAGTGACGTAATATAAAGAGGAAAAGCAATATGCTAACAATATTGAACTCGATCAAAGAAAGAGAATCGCATACATGATGTTATTATCTGGGGAACGAGGCTCGTATGTAATAATCATTAATATAACCATGTTTTTTTTTCAGGTACCCATTTAATACCCCCTGGGCCGACAGGGAAAATGTGAGCATAACAAATCGTCTGAGGATGTAAGCACAGGCAAGGATCGAATCTCGGATACGACCTCTCGTATGTGAGTCAATAATCCAGAACCTGGCCCATTAATTTTCATAATCTCTAATACCGCTATCTTCCCCCACTTACTGCAAGTCGAAGATAACGTGATTCCCAAATTTCTACGCCTTGCAAAAAAATCTTCAGCCGGGCGTATAAATTCGTTGATAAGGTCATCTTCGGTGGCTTGCAGCAAGAGAAGGCAATAGAGATGATTCTGAACTAGTAAATCAAGGACCTTTTCTAATACATCACATTGCTTTTAGACTAATGGAAGACTGGGATAAATGCTCATAAACATGAAACGAATATTGACGAATAATTACCCACTCGTACACTTTCGATAAGGACACAAAACTTCGGGTCAAGAAATTCATATTTTGAAATATGTTTGATTAATCGGTAGACACTAATACCTTAAAACTTCTGCAAAGGTTCGTTACCATGAAATCAAATAATTTGTGCATGGAACGAATTCAATTCATGGCTAAAAATGCAATTACAATATACGACAATCAGGTCTTGACCAAAAGATTTAGCATGCGCACATCAGTTTAATTAATTATAAAATGGTTCAGCTTATCTCAGCTTATCATAGATAATTCAGACGAAGAGTTTTCACACGTACCATAAGAACTCCGAAGTTAGTCAGATGATTACACTCGCATTCTATCATGTCACTGCTATCACTACTCTTCGTGTTACAACCACGTTGAGACCAGGCTTTGTCGTCAAAGTCCCAGGATACACACCGAGCATTGGTCCCATTCTGGAAAACAGAAAACAGAAATTATACGGATTACTTGATTTTTTTTCTTCTTAGATGAAATAAAATATAGTTAATTGTTATTGTTATTTCGTCTTGTTTTGTTGATGAAACTATGAAGTTCTTGGCTGCATTAACAAATTATCATTATTTTTTGCCAACCATCCTATGACATCACATATTCTCTAAATTTGTCTGACGCATCCTTACCCCATCACCCTCCTCTTTCTCTCTTTCTTTCTTTCTTTCTTTCTTCGTTTCTTTGTTTCACTCTTTAGTTTACCGGGCCCTCTCTCCCTCGTCGCCCCCCTTATCCCTCTCTCTCATTTTCTCCCTTTCTCTCCCTCCCCTTCGCTCTCCCTCTATCTATCTCTATCTCTCCCCCAACTCTCTCTCTCTCTCTTTCTCTCTCTAACGTATTTCTTCAATATTTATGTATCCTCGTCAACTTTCTTTTCCCATCAACTCCTCAATCAGTGTCTGTCCACTTTTAGTATTCTCTGCATATCAATTCGTGTCATTTTACGACGTACATTTATCTATTGAGTTACGCGACGCGATTCTGTATTCGCTATAAGTTCACTAAATGAAATTTACTATCTTGACTACTTACTGGATTCACAGGAGTAAACGATATCCTGACTGGTTCGCTCAAATCCTCCGCCTTTTCGTTATTGAAAGACGCCGATATGATCCTTGAATTCAAGGTTCGATTGAATTCTTCCACATCTTGGTTGAACTGCGCAATCCCGGTATCCTGGAACAGAGATGGCACGCGATACGTCGTGATGACGAGACGCCCTCTGCGTCCAGAAAACTTGTCCGCTAAACCCGACGGGATGAAGAGTGTAACCTGTGCCTGGGTGGCTTCTGGCTCTTGCGTTAGATCACCTCCTTCCACCTTGAAGTCTTCGTCAGATATGCTTTCACCGTCATCAGTCACAGCCATGAAGACAGTATAACCCTGGCTGATGCCCTTGGTGGTCACATCAAGTACCTGAAACATAAAGACCGAATGAGGATGTTTTTTTGATATATATTGTGGAATCGCGAACAATAGCCAGTTCAGGTGTGAACAGATAATTATTGACAGCTGGTCACAGAAACAGCCCCTGCAAGGGGAGCCCCAAATAGACCGATACAATTGGTTCGCTCCTGCTTAGATGAAGTTATGTATAACTAATCTAATCTTCCATACCCCGAACTTGCCGAAGTTTGCTGTCAATAGATAATTCCAATTCATAAAGATTTGCTACTCGTGCATCCAAGAGATCTCCTAGATTGATCTCTCGCATCATTACCTCTTTGTTAAATGTATGATTCTAGCTTTTGATGTTACGTAATATAACAATAAGCGAATTGATGACGGAACGTTGTATGAACTAGTAATACTATACAGAGCACGTATGCTAGGCTGAAGCAAGTTAAAGTACGCTAACATAAAAACATGCATATGGGACTGTTCATTTTACTGCGTAACCACGGAAGCGAATATAGGTAGATCGAGGTTCAAAAATCCTTTAAAATGCTCACTGTCAATAAATGTTTTCGGTGGAAGGTGAAGAGTTCAAACATCTTTTAATTCATACTCGAAGACCGTGGAAAGACGTTTAAGGAAATAAGAGCGTAAGTACGTATTCCTCCATGATCCTGCTCAATATGACACTTTTCTTTAGTACCCGTTCGTACTACTAGTAGAGTCAAAGTGTGTAGACCCCGCTGATATTTTTCGGGGACAAAGGTTTTTAAGTGTTTTTGAGTTGTTTGGAGGTCAATGATTAAAATTAGCTTGGGTAGTCCCCTCCTAACCCCGGCAACTCTTGTAGGGGTCAAAAATAAGGTCAAAATGGGGTCAATAGGGGGTCAATTTTTTTAAATGCCCTGATTATGTTAAAAGACATGTCAAATTGTTTGTCTCGTCATACTGAACAAAAAAGTGTATATGATCATATACCCCTGATCTCCCGTTAAGAAGTTATGGCCGGAAAAGTCAAAAGGTCAACAAACTTTCATTTGAGGGCAAAATACACTAAAAGTTTTAGGATCGATCAATTTTCATGTTTTTTTTGTCTATTTATATGTATTTTGATTTAGAAATTTGAATGAGACAATTTCTACTTAAGAAGACCGTATTCAAAAGATATAAGGGGTCAAAATAAGGTCATTAGGGGTCAAATGAGCTCCTTTGGGATCAAAATACACTAACAGACTTAGGAGTTATTTGTGTCAAATTATGTGTAAATTGATGAATAATAGTGAATGAATTTTTTTTTTTTTTAATTTAGAAAACCATATTCAATTGATGTAAGGAGTCATTATAAGGCCAAAATGGGGTCATTTGGGGTCAAAAATGTTTAATTGACCTAAATTGTGCTGTAATGCACTCTCACACTGAATGAGGTCAGGGGTATATGATCATATACACTTTTTTGTTCAGTATGACGAGACAAACAATTTGACATGTCTTTTAACATAATTAGGGCATTTAAAAAAATTGACCCCTATTGACCCCATTTTGACCTTATTTTGACCCCTACAAGAGTTGCCGGGGGTTAGGAGGGGACTACCCAAGCTAATTTTAATCATTGACCTCCAAACAACTCAAAAACACTTAAAAACCTTTGTCCCCGAAAAATATCAGCGGGGTCTACACACTTTGACTCTACTATAGGATCAATTCACACGTATGATTGGCTGTGTGATGTCACTGATGTGTATAATTTATTCTTGTTTGTCAGGTACTGAAAGCGATTACAATTGAGGCTGATAATTGGATAAATTCGTTGAAATTCACAAGACTCCTATCAGATATGGCGTAGAAGAAGGTTCATTGAGCTGGTAATCATTTTGTACTCTGTTATGAATTCATTCTTTAAAATGCTAGAGCGCCATAATGGCAGCCATGCTAAAACCGGGACAATAATTCGTCCCTATTTTCACGAAGTGACGGTAGTGAGAAAAATCGTCACGCAAAGTGAATGCAACTTTGTTTCACTACCGTCACTTCGTGAAAACAGCGACGAATTATTGTTGAGCTCCAGGCATATTGCTCCGCTTGTCTCATTTTCGCTCGCTGGACGTATATAGCAGACAACAATCGGCGGATTAGACGACACTTGGTAGTGAATTTGTATGTGAGATTGCTTTGCTAAATATAAAATACAAGAACATTTACCATATCTTTAAACTATCATTGATTTCTGATAATTAAACAGTTATTAAAATAAACCTACCAAACTACATAATACAATGAACTACTTGACTTAAAGTAGGGGAGTTTGATGTGGTGCACAATTGCACCCCTCTGTAAATAATCGAATAGTCCATGGTGATCATGAATATTCATGTTTTTGCTTACCTCGGCAAAATGTTTGCTTTTACTAAATGGAAAAATTACGGTGGGGGTTGGATGAAATGGACATAATGAACCAAGCAGGAGTGATCTATGATAATTCATGCTTCTTATCCTTCGTGTGCTTGACCTATAATCTTACAATCGCTTGGCAAATTGAGTCCAAGGTTCGATTTGTTTCACATGTGTTATATAGGCAATGGCGAGCTTGCAACCTATTTTGATCACATTACGGAAGGTGAACTTTCAAAAGTCATGGGACATGAGGTTTCCAATGAAAGATCTAGTGATAACATACGTCGGGGTGGATGTGCTTTTCGTTTAAACAAAAAATGAATTTTTAACGATTTTGGGGGGTAAAATTCTATAGGCTAACATGTTAGGCTGCTGACTCTGACGATAGGGGGCGTTGTCAAATGAGACTAAACGGAGCTATGTGAGTGTCAGGGCTCAAATTAATTTTTTGTCCACGGGGGCTCTTCCAAAGAAAAAAGAGCCCCCGTGAGCCTTCTCACGGGGGCTCTTTTAGTGCTGACGGGGGCTCTTATTTTAATACAAATTTTCATTGAATTTGTACCCAATAAACTCCTTGGTATTTTATCATTATCATTTATTTAAGTCGGCATTTTCCCTGTTAGAAATTTACTTGTTACATTGCTGTTATTGACTTTTATCCCGTAATGACATTCTCTCCATTTCTTCCCGTTCTGCACATAATTTCCTCCTCATTATTCGGAGCAACCTTATTTACATTCTTTCTTTACTTTTATTCTTTACCATATCCTTCCAAAACAAAGGGGCGGATCCATCTTTTTGCTAAGGGTGAGGGGGGTTACCCCAATACGATGTGGAGCATCGTCCACGAGCCGCGAGTCGATTTTTGTTGTTGCTATTTTGAACCCCCGTAAGTGATGTTTCCTGGCATCTGCTAACATGCGGAGCATCGTCCACGAGCCGCAAAGCGGCAAGGCGAATTTTTGGTGCTTTTTTGAACCCCCGTTAGTGATGTTTTTCTGGCATCTACTTATACTGTGTAGGTCTGGACACATGATAGCATTTTTTCTATGCACATCACATTTTCACTTGGCAGCCCAAGGGGGGAGGGGGTTTAACCCCTAAACCGCCTAGATCCGCCCCCGCAACATCTTCTTCTCCTTCCCAATATTGATTTAATGGTCGAGTTACATTATTTGCTGGTCTTTTAGAATAACCAGATTTAAGAGGAATCACGCTTTTCACAACGAAAAACTTCTCCATGTTTCAGTCTTTGCGCGATCGTTTCCAGCTCCAGCAGATATTGGGCTTTGAACAGCGTGCACACCGTTACTTCCGACGCAGTATAGCATTGCTGACGGCCGCACTAGCTGCATGCACTGTGAGCTTCCGTTGTATTTATCGGTAATACTCATAGAGGTGGGGGGGGGGGGGAAGCTCCATCTAAGTTCCATTTCATTGGTTTAAGGTTTGAAAATTGATACTCAATATTGTGTTAAAGTTATATCAGAAAAGATAATCTTTATTTTATAATTCCCCGGGGGCGATTTTTAATTTTACAATCGCTCCCGTGAGCAACCTGACGGGGGCGATTATGGAGCTCACGGGGGCGAATCGCTCACCGCCCCCGTGTATTTTGAGCGCTGGTGAGTGTAAAGTTTGACCGACATGAGCGCTATACCAGAACCCACTATCATTATCATTATTACAAATAGCTAATCGCTCAATCGCTCATTTGATTTATATGACAGCGAAAGTAGAACGTAAAATCTTTTATGGGACAGTTTTCAAACTTCCATGGCATGTCTCTTCCTCTAAAACTATTGAAAAGTACAGAGTCTAACTGTCTTCCCTACCTCAGCAGCAACATTGGCTTCTACAAATCGACTACTGTCATTTTCCACTTCTACGACAGCTAGCTGTGCTTCGAGAGCCAAGACTACACGGCTTGGCGAGCTATTCTCTTCCTCCGCCATACCAAGCTGTTCGTCGGGTAAGACTGCGATGTTATCTGCAATTTCTACCATAGATTCAGCCACCTATGGTTCAAGAAAATGAAATATTAATTGAGAACAAGGCAATATTTATGATGGCATCGTGCCAGAATAATGCTGAAGACCTTTGTGTGTAAGTAACTTATGCAAGTATCACCTTAACAACTTTAGTAATTACTGGAAAGCACTCGATTTGATACTGTTAGCATATAAGGAATATAATAAATATTTAGAAGAAATGGAAAAGGTGACCGTAAACATGTTTTTAAGCAGTTTTAGATATTAAATACCGGCTAACCGTACTGTAGTTCAAGAAAAAGCTTATAGTTTTTTCATTTTCATTTCAAAGACTTTATTTTCTGCAATCAAACAAATCAGTTATACAACAAATATGGATAATTATATAAAACATAAGGTATGCAAACAATATACAAAATATAGAAACAAATGTATAATACATGAGTAAGAGTAAACTTATACGTTGGGCCATTGCGTGTATAAAGAAAGAAAGCAGAAGGTCGCCGTTATAAGCAAAAGCTTGAGTAGACGGTCAACCGAGCTAAAATAAAAATGAGATGTGAAATATTGGCAAATTAACAAGAAGAGGGGGCCATGATACTCAAATGATATATATTACAATTAAATGTGAATATAGACAGTTGTATTCAATATAAATAATTATAGAATTAGCATATGAATCTCATATTTATATGGCTACTAATATTATACGTTAATGACAGAGATAAGAGAGAAACTAAACAAAAACAAGGGTGCAAGTGGTGCGTGTGTGTGCAAGTGCAAGTGTCCTCAAGCGCCAAAATGTTGAATCATCAGTATTACTATGTAACGCAGACCAAAATTTAATGTAGTTTCTAAAGTTTTAGAAAAAACGCTTTAATTTTTTTTTTTTTTTTTTTTTTTTTTTTTAAACCTTTATACATTATATTGTGAAATAATGTGTTTTTTTAGTGTAGCTTTAAATGAATAGAGAGATGTACACTGTTTAATAGGTCTAGGGAGTGCATTCCAAATGTCTGGACCGTGATATCTTATGGACTTAAGCGCTAACAAAGTTTTAGGATTGTGTAAATGAAAATCAGTACAATTACGCGTTGGATATGAGTGAACATGGGAATTAGGAATAAATACGTCATGAAAAAGAGGAAGTGAATTTTGTGTGTATTTAAACATACAGATTGCTGTTTGATATAAGTGCAAATCACTCACTTTTAAAATGTTTAATCTATAAAATAACGGATTTGTATGAGCTAAGTAATTAGAACGAGTACAAATCCTAAGTGCTCTTTTTTGCAAGAGAAAAATTATATTAATCTTAGTTATACTACAGTTCCCCCAAACTACATTACAGTATGTAAAATAAGGTAACACTAATGCATTATATAATGTATAAAGTATTTTCTCGGGTACAAGATCCCTCATTTTACCAATTACCCCAACTGCCCTTGAAATTGATGTTGTAATATTATTTACATGATTATTCCAAGTAAGCTTTGAATCCAAAGTTATACCTAAAAATGTTGTCGATTTCCTTTCAACTATAGAAATATCATCAATAACAATGTTTATAACCTGATCAAAGTGTGTTTGGGAAGCACAAAAATTTATAAAACATGTTTTATCTAAATTGAGTGACAATTTATTGCATTTAAACCATGTTGAGATTTTAACTAATTCATTATTGAGAGTATAAATTAGAGTATTCAAGCATTTATGAGAATAAAATATGTTGGTGTCATCTGCGAAAAGCACGTAAGTAAGAAGTGGTGATGACTTTACTATGTCATTAATATAAATAAGAAAAAGAAGGGGGCCTAAAATTGATCCTTGTGGAACACCACATAACACATTTAAGTTAGGGGAATTAACTGACTGAAATGAAACAAATTGCTTTCGATTAACTAAATAATTCTTAAACAAGTTTAAGGCTGTGCCTCGTATACCATAATGAGTAAGTTTTTGCAACAAAATGTTATGATTCATGGTGTCAAAAGCTTTTGACAGGTCCATAAAAACCCCAATTATATGTTCCTTATTATTAAGTGTTTGAGTTATTTTATCACAAGATTGTATCAAAGCATAATCAGTAGAAAAACCTTTTCGGAATCCAAACTGATTGCAAATAAGAGTATTATTTTCTTGTAAAAAAGAATAAAGGCGTTTATAAACAATTTTTTCTAAAATCTTGGAAATGACCGGCAATAGCGAAATAGGGCGATAATTTTTTATTTGAGTTAAATCATCTTTTTTATGAATAGGAATCACTTTGGCTATCTTTAAGGAGTCCGGGAAAATGCCTGTCGATAGTGATAAATTACAAATATGAACTAGGGGAGAGGCCAAACAATAAATAATTTTCTTTAATAAATACACACTTATTCCATCATAACCGCATGATCTACTCATCTTAAACGATCCAACTATCTCTAATATTTCATTTTCATTCACTGGAATAAAAAATAATGAATTTTCATTAGCATCAAATAAATAATCCTTAAAGTTTTCATTTGAGTGTATTGTCGAGGCTAAACGTGGACCTATACTAACAAAATAGTTATTGAAAGCAGTAGCAATTGAATGAGGGTCCGTGATTTCATTACCACTTTCAACTATCATATCAGAGCATACTTTCTTTTTAGTTTTTAAGAGATCATTAATTGTTTGCCATAATACCTTTACATTCCCTTGATTAGATTCTATTTTATTTGAATAATACCGTTTACGTGATACACGAATTAAAGTTGTTAATCTATTTCTATAATGTTTATATCTATCTTTATTCTGAGCAGTTGGTTTACGCAATGATATTTTATACAAACGATTGCGAGTTAAAATTGATTTCATTAACCCCCGAGTAATCCATGGCTGTTTTATACTTATATTATCTTTTTTTTTAATAAATGGCATATTCTTATCTATATAAAAAGAGAGTTTATGCAAAAAGTTTTGATATGATAAATTAGCATCTTCAACCGAGAATATCTCGCGCCATTGTTCTTTGGACAAATCAGAAATTAAAGAATCAATAGTTTGTTCTGTTTCTTTCCTCTTTTTAACGAAAATATTTTTCCTAGTTTTCTCACTAATGACATTATAGCATATAACAAAAATAGGTAGATGATCTGATATATCTGAGTACAGAATACCATTTAAATGTTCTGCATGTATGACATTTGAGAATATATTATCAATTAATGTTTCACTTATTGTTACATTATCAATTCTAGTAGGTTTAGAAATATGGGGATAACAAGAATATAATAACATAGTATTACAAAATTTCAATATATTATTGTTTGTTTTATTAACTAAGTCTAAATTATAATCACCCATTAAATATATATGTTTATTTTCCTGCGATATCTTATTCAAAACGGAATCTATTTGATTTATGAAAGTATCTACATCACTAGTTGGGGGTCTATAAATAGTTCCTATTATCATATTTTTACTTTTACTCACACTAACTTCTATAAATAAACTTTCGGAACCTTCAATTTCTATATCAGTTCGAATTTTGAAAATAAATGTATTATTTATGTATATGGCAACACCTCCTCCTCTACCATTCTTACGGTCTTTACGTATCATTTCATAATTATAAAGATTAAACATTTCGGGTGAATTTTCATGTAACCACGTTTCTGTGATGCCAATGGCCGAAAAGGGAAAATTATTAATAGAGTCCATTAATATTTCAAAAGGAAGAAAATTTTTATTCAAGCTTCGAGCATTTATATGAAGTAAACTAAATTGATTACTAATGTTATTAGTTGGTCTTAAGGTAGATTGATCATGAATGTTATTAAAATCGAAATCAATCTTCTTATTAAATTCATTTATTGTATAATATTCACTATTGTGTTCAATTAAATTTTGGTCATCTATTAAAACATCAGGATTCATTTAATTTGAGTGACATATTAACATGGAGCGCGCAAGAGTGAAGGAGTGAAGGGTGAGCGTGCAGTGACAAGAAAGTGAGAATATCAAAAAAACATAATTCTATAGATCTATCCAAAAATAAAAAATACATAATTACAATATTGAGAAAATTATCAACAAATATCATGACCGCGGTGTCCTCAAGCAAGACTCCCGATTAATTATAACTATTATAAGTAAATCTAAACACACATCAGTGCAAATACAAAAATGACAAGATTGGACATAAACCTTCAAATTTCAATGAACAAAATCATGTTTGAAAATAACCTGATTACGTCTTGGGCAGGTCCAAGCCATTCGGACTGCGACGCACAGGACACCCAGAGACCCCAAACAAGAAACAACACATGAAACCACTCATACGGCCATCCCCCGGCACGAGTCTGCGGCCACCATGGGCCAGTTCACCCGCGGAAAGTTCCAGCTCCGACCAATCTCCCAATCAATTCCAAATGCAACCAATGCGCCGCGCGACGTACGGGACGCTGTGGTCCCGCACGTCACGCAGCACATCAACCACATCTAAAACCAATCAAAAAACTGGCCAGAACCAAAACCCCCCACAAACGAACCAGCCCACAACAGCCACAGACCCACACCAAAAGACAGCCACACAAACAATTCCACACGCTGCCACCTCCCGTTCAAAGTCTCCAAACGTCCCGCACGCCACAACCCAAACAGCTTGGACCTGCCCTCCTACAAAAGATACAAATAATACTTATATGAATGAAGCGATTTCAAAGTGTTATTACATATTCAAGAGAACATAAAATAAGCAGTCATTATTCAGTCATTATTCAAGATCTACACGTTTAAATGGTACACATTTATACTCAATTTAAGCAACGGACAGAAAGAAAAAAGAAAGGCGTGCCCAAGAAAGATGTGTACAATACACAGCTATACAACCTAAATGTGGGTCGCTGGGTATTTCAAAACAAATAAAATAAGGAGTTACTTGCGTGTGCTCATATTCATACAATAACATTGGAAGCGCCACGTTCGGAAAAAAACACATCGCATTGGGCTGACGAACATTGTTTGTGAACAATGCTCGTCACCCCAGAGCACCATGCCATCCAAACGCCGCGTTGCCCCGAACTTACAACCCTAAACTCAAAATTGAATAAAAGAGCATTATTTCATGAACACAAACAAATA